GACCCGGTTGCTAGTTAGCCAACCAGCAACGGGCATGAAACTGTATGCAGATGGAGAAGGGCAATCACCCTTAATGGGCGATCAATGGTGAAGGGCAATCACCCTTAATGGGCGATCAATGGTGAAGGGCAATCACCCTTAATGGGTGATCAGGATATGCATAGGGGATTAAGGGGGGGGGAATACAAAGAACACAACAGTTTTTCCCATAACTATATAAGGAAAGGGAGAAAACCATCATGTTTTTCTCCCTTTCCACTTGGGTGGAAAACATTAATACAGGTAGGAAACTGGGCTGCTTTGTGGTCTTTGAAATACAAACCAGTTGTCTCCTGTCTTGACAAAATGTACTAGACCTCTGGAGAAATGCTATGTTCATATCTGTAAGTACACCTCTTCTTCCAATCTACTAGATTTCTAGCAAAGCAGAATTCCAATTCATGCAGAGAATTATACCCAATATCTATCTTTCAATATGAATTAAAATTTGCACCTAGCATAAAGACAAAACATACAAGTATGCAATGCACACACTCATACACACATATGTATTGTACAATATAACAATATAAACTCAAAAGACCCAAACATGGGTGCATCGAATTAATCTCCCTATAAAATAATCAGTCAAAACATGATTTGCTCTAGGGCAGTGTTTCTCAACCTTGACAATTTTAAGGCATGTGGACTTCAAGTCCCAGAATTCCACAGCCAGCATTGCTGGCTGTGGAATTCTGGGAGTTGAAGTCCACATGCCTTAAAATTGTCAAGGTTGAGAAACACTGCTCTAGGGCATAACCGTCTAAATACCTGCTTTCAGTTATTCCAAATTTAGCCGTGTTTGCTGTTTTTTCAGTCCAAGTTGCAATCCCCAAAGGAGGCAGAAATTCCTGCATTCGTATATTAGCATTTCCTATATTGTGACAACCATTGTATCCTATAAATATGGAAGAACAGCAAAATGCTCTAGTTAAAAGAGCATTGTGTGTTAACACAAGGTTACTAAAAGCAGGAATCATGCACTGAGCAATGGAAGAAGGATTTTTTCAGCTGAATCCAATTTAAAATAAATCAGCAGATGTATCTTATGCAGCATCAAATCCTATTGATACAGCATTTGAGAGGGAAAAACATTTTGGTGATTTTGGTGGGGTATGTTCAGCTTGGTTTGCAATGCGCTCACTACAATTCTTACAGCAAAGCTGCCAGTGCATGATGCAACGAGGAGTTGTATTCTTCAGCTGGCTTGTCATTGAGCTTGACACTGGTTTTAAAAAAAAAACATTTTCTTTAATTTACTTAATTTCATAAAGTAAATGAAGAATTATTTTCCAGAAAAGGGCAATTAAGTGCATCACAAGGCACTTGATTCCATGTATAATTCTGAACCGGCCGTGGAGAACTTGCAGCTGTGGGGCTTTGGGTAGGTCTTGCCTTAATTTCATTTCAGAGCTCTGGCAAAAATCATTTGTCTTGTTGCTAGTCACCTAGATGGAGATGAAAAATAAAAAATAATAGGAAGGAAACTCAAAAAGAGAGGAAAATAGACTGGGAAAAGAGCCACTTTAGGACTTAGCATTATATTAGGAATTATATCCTATTTGCACAAATGACTTACAATCTATAAAAAAAAACACTGCTGTAACATATCCAATGAAATAAGCAGGTTATTTAATAGGCAGCTTCCTCCTTTGATAAATGTCTGAAACGGCACTTGCAGCACATGAGTTTTCTGCTGATATTATTTCTCCGATGCTCTGAGCAACTTTCTTTCTTTTCTTTTCTTTTTTCTTTCTNGTCTGCTTGATTTAATGAGGAATCTTAGTATGCAATTCCTGAACATCAAGAATAAGGTTACTGACTAATAGTACCATTTGATGCCTAGAACCAGGAAATTGTCCAGAGGGAAAAATCTAAACAAATAATCAAACAAACAGCTGAAACTCCCACTTGCCATCCTTATCCATTATGCTGCTAAAGAAGTAGGCAATCTTCCGTACTCTGTAGAAGCCTCTGATTTAGAGAGAACCAGGTAATAAATATCCACTACATTAAATGGTATCTGTTAAATTATAGAAGATAAAATATTATCATATGAGTACACAAAATCTTTAAATGTACATTCAATGTTTTGGGAATCATCAATTGCTTCTGTTTGTTCAATGTGGCAGTGATGTATATTGTCCTAATGTTTCATTGACGAAGTCCAGTGATAGATGTCTGTGCTCTGTGTTGTTCTCCATACCCATGTGCTTAGATACAAAGCTAAAAAAATTTTAAAAATCTATCGCATATTGTAAATAACAAATCCTAATTTTTCCCCCCCAATACATGCAGCTCCTCCAAAGTATGATAAGATATGGCCGAATATATCTTCTCTTGGGGTTTCTAACCCAAATCAAGGTAGGAGTCTGTAAAATTCCTACTGGTCTATTATGACTTTAACTGCTTTTCATAGAATCAGCAACCCGGGGGGGGGGGAATCCTTTTATGCAACTAAGAAGAAAATATACTGTCCAAAACAACCTACTGAGGATTATTATGCTCATAAAAATGAATCTTACATGAAAAGACTTTTTATAATGTGTACAGATCTTCCTCATCAAAGTTATAAGCACTTTTTTTTTAGCTTAAATTGAATATGGTTTCCCCTAAGAAGAGGGGAATTGTATAGATAGCATGAAAAGTAAGTTTTGAGACTTCTTGATTGCCAGAGATTCTCTTTGTCTCCATCAGATCATTTTAATGTCTCTCTTTTCTGCTTTGTTTGCTTAATTGAAATGAATGTTATTTCAGTTGATAATTCAGAGATGAAATTGCAATGAGACCAACTTGCGGTAGTTAAAGCAAAATCGTATTCTCAGGAAATTTATTTGAACAATGCAGCATTTTCCCAAAAAAAGGGGGGGGGCTCTTCTTTTTCTTTCAAGTCTTTATTTTTTCCCCACACAAGGTTAGGGCACATTGTCGGTTACTTCCTGTGTGTGTGTGTGTGTGTGTGTGTGTGTGTGTGTGTGTGTGTGTGTGTGTGTGAGCATGCTTGCATGCTGAAAGCGTCACATTCCAACAATTTCAGTAATTGTTCTCTCTGGAATCCCTAATGTGCATCAGTTCCACTTCTGAATTCCAGCAACATTCACATGTAAAGAATTTACTGGCAGGCTGGTGTGATGATTATTTCAGGAGGAAAAATGATGTGGGTTTAAGAGAGAGACCAGGGTGAGAGAAGAATAAAAGAGGTAGCAAGAAATGTCAACATTTTAAAGTTGGTTTCTGTAGAGCTTTTGCACAGAAAATACATTCAGTCAGGTGGAAGTCTGTTCAGTACTTCCCATGGAATTATTATGTTTCTTAAAACAAATGGTGTTGGTCTACAGCTTGCCATCATTATACACAGGATGTTCCTTTTAAACTCTAATGAATACAGATGGAGGAAGAAATGAGCATAAGAAGATCCAGGAAATAGTTTCTAAGCTAAACAAAGCGTATTAGCAATTTATTGGAGAGCTAGATTGGAAAAACTGCTGTCTTAGTCCTTGATCATAGGAAAGAAATTAAGACTGTGCTAGATGCATAAATTACTAGCAGCTAGAATTGTTTTACTTGTGGGTTCTATATTATATTTCACCATTTCTTTCCATGCCTCTTGGAGAACTGCTGTTGGGTTTGCCCTAACCTGGTCATTTAGAAAGAAAGCCTTTGACTGCATTTGTAGGGAAAGGGATACTTTTGCCAAAGCCAAGTGGTTGCAAGACAGAAAAAGCCAGATCTGAGGGTTGAACACTGTTGGAAGAAAAGTCTTCATCATGGTTCATCCAAGCTGAGAATAAACATGGCAACTGCTTTGGGAAGAAGGTTGTAGTTTATTGGAGAGGAGAGCCAGACAGGAAGATGGTTCTGGCAGCAAGAGAAGTGAAAAAAAAGGACTGAGCACATGTAGGAAGTGGGTTTTTATACCCTCTGGACCCTTTTGTTTGGAGTTGTTCCTGTGGCATAAACTTTGACCTGAGTCTGAGTGTGCCTTTCTGGTATTCTGATGGTGATGGGTCAATCTTATTATGTCCAAAGGTCATATACTGCTTTCCTGGGGCTGATAACTCTTAAGAGTTTGGATGGGGTATGTAGATTTTAGGTCTTCGGTCTTCTTAATCTCCTAGCTCCCTGGATTTATATCTGCATCTTTATAGAGCTGGTTTCTGCTTGGAGAAGGGAGACCTGGGGCTATTAAGAAAAACTAGGCATGCTTTCCTGCATTTTTAAGATCCTTTGAGGAAATATATTTTTCTGCCCTTTTAATATTTTCTTCTCTGGGGGGCTGACTTCCCACAATATGAAAGCTGCCTACTTACTTTCCCCTTTCCCAGGTCCTCACTCCCAACTACCTCCTTGTGTCCAACAAATTGTTTTGGTACTGAGGTTTGACAAGCTCGGGTTATGGTCCGCATTCCATTCTCATGGTTATGATGTTGGGGTCAGTCAGCTGATGTCTCTGACAGGCACTCAAAGTGGTTTCAGTTTCATTGTTCTCCCTCCCTACTTGCTAGCTTCCTTCACACATACACACACACACACACAGATTTTATAGCAGTCTGGTATCAGTGAAGTAGTGATGAGGCAAAGCAGGATGGCAACTGCAGTGCCATCCTGTAGTGATGAGGCAAAGCATGGATGACAACTGCAGTGCCATACTGGATAAATTAGATTCAATCTACTTTGCTTCCATGTTACTATGTTCTGCTTTCTTTTTACCAGACCTACAAAATATACCAACCAAAGGCTGGTGTAGAACAAATCCGTGTTAATGTTATTGGAGCCCACAAAAATTATTCCCAATTATCACAAGCTTTCATCATTTCAGAGTATTTTTATTCCTGCGATGCTTAAATAATTAAAAATCAGACACATTTTTAATCTACTGCTAATTATTGAAATTAGCTATCTCCAGCCTGATTCTGCAATAACAAATATTAGTCCTACAGCTAACCAGCAAAATTAGTATTGAATTCTAGATTGCATTGTTTATTGTTTAATTTATGAAAGTTGGCCATTGGCAATAATAAGAGAAATAAGCTTTCGCAAAACCCATGTGTTGTATCATAAATGATTGTAAAGAATCTCAAACTATTATTTGAAAATGCTATAGCTCTTGAGCAATATGTAATTAAGCTTTTTTTGTAGCAAAAGAACTCAGGCATCAGCCAAGCAACTGAGTCATATTGTTCAGGTTAGATTGCAAAATGATAATTCAATAAATGAGTTGTTAGTTGAAATGGATTACATTCTCTGTGAATGCTTATATTCGTCAGAGTTGTACTTACTGAAAAAGGGTTTAGTGGTAGTTGTAAGTTAAATAAGTAGAGATCCATCAGGAAAAATGGAATTTCATTTAATTTTAAAGAACAAAATATTAGTAAGAAAATCACATCTACATCCAAGCGGTTACATGGCAGTGATTTAAAAATTAAGGGGAAAAAAAGATACTGCAAATTCTGAAAAAGTTCTTCCCATAACTATATAAGGAAAGGGAGAAAACCATCATGTTTTTCTCCCTTTCCACTTGGGTGGATAACATTAATACAGGTAGGAAACTGGGCTGCTTTGTGGTCTTTGAAATACAAACCAGTTGTCTCCTGTCTTGACAAAATGTACTAGACCTCTGGAGAAATGCTATGTTCATATCTGTAAGTACACCTCTTCTTCCAATCTACTAGATTTCTAGCGAAGCAGAATTCCAATTCATGCAGAGAATTATACCCAATATCTATCTTTCAATATGAATTAAAATTTGCATAAAGACAAAACATACAAGTATGCAATGCACACACTCATATACACATATGTATTGTACAATATAACAATATAAACACAAAAGACCCAAAC